TGCCTAACACATGCCCCCCCCTGGGGACCTGGCCCACAACCCAATCATGTGCAGGAATCAAACCAGCGACCCTTTGTTTCACAGGCTGGCACTCAATCCATTGAGCCATACCACCCAGAATATTTTGGATCTGTTGAGTGGATAACTCTGAGGTGTGTTCCTGTAGTTATCCACTGAGGTTGAGCTCTAGCTGTGCACAGTGGAAACTGGCTTAACGATACATTCTTTTTGGCTTCCATCCCTTTCCTGGCTCACTTCTCCACTCTCCTGTGTTTTCCAAGAGCACATCCTAAATAAATTACTTGCTTTTAAATCCTTATTTCAGAGTTTGCTTGTAGGGGATCTCCAATCAAGGTAGGTATGTGTAATGGGCAAGGGGTGAGCTTAAAAAGGGATGGTTTGAGTTATAAAGAGAAGTTTCTAGCTGAAGAATTATCTGGCAACTCCAGGCCTCATGTAATTCTCACTGATATGATCACAGAAAATTAAACAGTCTTATGAATCCACATTTCCTCACTTGTTCTATCACATGTTCATCAATTCATGGAAATACTATTACCATATCCTTTGCTTAGTTGACATCTTAACTGCAAAGATGTCAATTAAAATTACATTCAGGACAGAAAAATAATTTTACTTCTAAAGAAAAAAAGGATAGATCATATATAGATAGAACAGGTTTCATAAGCTCATTTTACCAAAATAATAGTAGGAAAGAATGATTTTCTTAATCATAAGAATACTAAAGAAGCTTTTTTATGAGGCAGGCAGGGAGGGAGAGACAGAGAACAGAGAGGCAGAGATCAGAGAGAGAACTCAAAGACAGAGAGAGATCAGAGATGAGTCAGACAGAGAGAAACAATGTGCCAGTGCCAGTTTGAGAGAAAGCAAGTATGTTCAACAGTGTGGGTAAAAGTGAGAAAGTGAGCACATGTGCATGCACACATAAGAATATGAACCAGAGTGAGCATATACACAGGGTTTGTGCTGGGAATGCAGGTGAGTACTAGCTTGAGTACTGTGTTCTCTGCTTTGGGATCAGAGCCCATGAAAACATTTGTGGAACTCTGCAGAGATGATGATAGTCAGTCCCAGACCTCTTAGAGAGCAGTGAAAAATATTTGGATGAAACCATATGTTGGTATATGTTTAGGTGGGGATGAAGAAGAAGGATGAGAAATGAGTTTGTTATGAGAAAGTAGAGCTCCTACCCTTCACAAAAGCTTGGATAGAACTGGAGAGCATGATGCTAAGTGAAATAAGACAGGCCATGAAAGACAAAAACCATACGATCTCACCTGTAAGTGGAACCTAATCAACAAAACAAGCAAGTGGGCAAAATATAACCAGAGACATTGAAATAAAGAACAAACTGATAGTAACCAGAGGGGAGGTGGGATGGGATAAAGAAGGGAAAGAAGGGGAAGGGCCATCCAGGAACGTGGATAAAAAATCCATGGACAAAGTCAAAGGGGATCAAGAGTGGGAGGTGGGGATAACTGGGATTGGGGTGGGGGAGTGGTGGTGGTGGGAAAATGGAGACAACTGTACTTGAACAACAATAAAAAAAATTGAAAAGGATGTCATTCAACTACTTGCATTCAGAGGTAGGAGTTCAGAAGGCATTTTCTTTGTTCAGAACAGGAACAAAAAAAATGGAGTCAGAAAATTCCAGAGTAGGTTTTCGATGAATGATTGTGTACATGTGATGGAATATAAAACTACTTCCAATGCTATGACCTGCCCCCAACCTCTATTAAATCCTCAATTGTAGACAGAGAAGTTTGAATTTATGCAGTAAACAACAGCTACAACAACCACTACAGTAATATTAACTGCTTTGGAAAACCTAATTAAAAGTGGGCTAGAGACTTGAACAGACACTTTTTCAAGGAAGACATACAGAGGGCCCAGAGACATTTGAAAAGATTCTCAGCATCACTAGCCATCAGAGACATGCAAATTAAAACCACAAGGAGATATCACTTCACACAGGTCAGAATGGCCATCATAAACAAATCAACAAAGAGCAAGTGTTGGAGAAGATGTGGAGTAGAAGGGAACCCTAGTGCACTGTTGCTGGGAATGCAGACTGGTGCAGCCACTGTGGAAAACAGTATGAAATTTCCTCAGAAAACTAAAAATGGAACTGCCTTTTGACCCAGCAATTCTGCTGCTGGGGTTATACCCTAAGAGCCCTGCAACACCAATCCAAAAGAACCTATACACTCCGATATGCATAGTAGCACAATTTACAATAGCCCAGTGCTGGAAGCAGCCTAAGTGCCCATCAGTAAATGAGTGGACCAAAAACCTATGGTGAATTTACACAATGTAAGACTATGCATCAGAGAGAAAGAAGGAGTTCCTACCCTTTGCAACAACATGGATGGAACTGGAGAGCATTATGCTAAGTGAAATAAGATAGGTAATGACAGACAAATATCATATGATTTCACCTTTAACTGGAACATAATCAACAAAAGTAAAAAGCAAACAAAATATAACCAGAGACATTGAAATTAAGAACAATCTGACAGTAACCAAAGGGGAGGAGGAAGGTGATAATTGGGGGAAGGGTCTTCAGGAACTACTATAAAGGACCCGTGGACAAAACCAAGGGGGAGGGTGGAAGCAAGGAAGGGAGGGAGTTTTGGCTGGGGTGGGGGAAAGTGGTGGTGCAAAATGTGGACAACTGTAATCAAACAACAATAAAAGAATTTAAAAAAATAAACTGTCTTGGAAAGAAGTTCTTAACTGTAATGACCTCACACACTAGTGAAAAGTGGGAAATAAGTAATAAATACTATGTTAACAGCTAACCTTTACTAAAGCTTACTATGTAACAGGCCTTGTGCTAATAGCTTGGTATGTTTAACAGATTTAATCCTCACGATGACCCTGTGAAATAAGTATTCATGCTATCCTCATGTCCAGGTGAATAATGAATCACAGACAGGTTATCTCTTGTCCAAGAATAAAGTAGATGTTAAATCAAACATAATATTGTGACTAATTTATTTTAAACAAAATTAATTAATATATATTCCAGTTTAAATCTCAAAGAAAAGAGGATGTAGAGGTCCCATGGTAAAATGCTTGCCATATCCTCCAAAGTCATAATAGAAATGCTGCTGAAAAGCACAGCATCATCCTTCATTTTTTACTGAACAGAGTGAGTTTAAAATCAGTTCCATTTTTCCCTTACATTTTTTAGAGGATATTGTTAACATTCTTCCCAGATTACCTTCAACCCCTTGGATAGCTCTGTGTGTTCACATCTAGTTTCTCAGTGTTTTTCTGGTAATAGATTGCACCTGTGACCTTCAGCAATCTTGCTTTTAGCACTAGGAGTAGAGGCCTAGAAATGCCTTGGAGTGTGTCCACCAAACCTCATAGTAGAGTTGTTAGATAAAATAGAGAATTTCTAGTTAAATTTGAATTTCATATAAATAATAAATAAGATTTAGTATACAATATACTAATATTTACATAGTATATGAATGAGCAAGGAATTCCATATTGCCTTTTTATACTCAGGGTCTAGCTGGAGTAATGCCTACCTGAGTGTGGTTGGTAGGGTAATAATACGGGTGTAATAATTTATAGTTTTAATTTAAACATTTCACCTAAAATTTCATATGGTGTGCTTGAGTGTGATATTGTTATGTTACAGAATTAGATGCTTATGATTTTGTAATAAAAGAGCTTGTAATGAAAAAAGGTGTTATTTTTGCTGGACCCTGTATATAATGTCCTTCTTGAATGATAGCCTTAAGTGTAAGCCAAGATGCTCATCCACCAAGTCCCTGAGAGGCTGAGTAAAAATAGCAACATTAAGCTAGTTGCTTATCATCTCTAAGTAATGTGTATTTTTTGTGGGAAACAATATGGGGCTGTCCCAAGGAAAATCAAAGATAACAATTTCAAAAAGGAAAACTAACATGGTTTAAATTGTATTGTAAAGGAAATATATCTATATTCTTGAAATTTTTGAAAATATTGAATATGGTGATGATCTTTTGATAATGGACAAATGATTTATTTTATGCTTCCATTTGTTTTCTGTGCACTTTAACATAAAGTGACACTAGTTTAAGAAAATGCTTTAGGGGAGAAAAACAGGTAGGGAGAGACTCCATGAAAAAATAAAAAATGAAAAGACCCAACAGTCAAAAGAGTGTCTTCTCTAGGGGATTTGTGTTCTCTATTCTAAAATGAATAACAGTGAGAATGCAATTCTGCTTGCAGAACGTAAGTGGGTTTTACTTCTTGGCTTTGCTGAGTTACTGCAGCTCCAAGCAAACAAAAGGAAGTTAACATTTGGGAGAAGCAGAGAAACATGAAGGTAGACCATTTCTTTCATCGCTGCCTTTGAAAATACACTAATTGTGAGAGTAAGCCTTACCTTATGCCACAACAAGATCAAGAAAATCCAGTTTGATATAAAATGACTATGCTCTTGGCTATCTTTCTATTTCTCTTTACTTTGCTTGACAAAGTAATAGTTCTGTACATGGAAGATTTTCACTTGACCTTCCCGATATCAAGTTAAAGGAGGTAGAGCTAGAAATAATTTGAATTTATGGAAAAATCTCTGAGGCAGTGCGGATGATGCTAGTAATTTTTAAAAAGCTACAGGGAATGTTCATGACACTTAGAGCTTTCTTCTTAAGAAGGGTGAACAGAAACAGATCAATAAATCAATAAAAATAATTTATTTTCCTTGTACATCTCCGTTTGAACTGTAACCCTGAGTCCCCAAACATGAAAACATAAACTCTCATCCCTGCAGTTAACACAAATTATTTTAATAGCTGAAGTTCCAGAAGTATAAGTGCTTTCCATTTCAAGTTAAAAAATGTCCTCCTTGCTTTTTACATTGTTTTAAGGGTTCTCCAAGAGATAATACTTTTTAGGCACCTAGAAGCATTGTTTGGATGGGAATACCTCAACTGTAACCTCAGGCTATACCATTGTCCAATCTGCATGTGTCTTACCTGTCTGAACTGGGGGTTGACTTTAAATACCGAAAATTTTGGCTATCTAAGTCCACGCTGGAACTCCGCCCACTTTCAGTTTTTGGTGTTATGATGATTTCTCCTCTGGTTGCTGATCTGAACTTGCTAAGAAGAAATCTGAAAGTATATAAATAAATATACTTAAAAGATAAAAATGAAATCATTTAAAAATATAATTTCAAGAATACCATTTATAGTATTTTCAACAGTAAATGATTAGCTTTGGGGCTGAGTGATTGTGGGGAGTTCCCATGCCTCTATTTTATAGTGTCAAGTGTGGTGGTGGAAGAAGTTATGATAGTCTCCCTCAGCCATAACACTTGCTGATAAGTCAAGCCTCTCTCAGTGCTAAGAAAAAGACCACTGACTTTGAGAACTCACCACTGTAACCTGAGAATGGAGAACCACTACATGTAATGAATCTGTTTGCAGGAGTACTAAGAATAGAGCTTGAATTCACTTTGCTAGACAGGGGAGCTCAAATGATCCTTGAGGATTAACTAAGGTGGCAGTTTATTAGCCTGCAGCTCCATGACAGCAGCAATTCTGACCTTCTTAGTTCCTACCAACTTCTCTGAGCACAGAATGATGCCTGACAAATACTAGAACCCACGTGATTACTGTAGAATAAGTGACTGAACTCGTGTGGTGGGAACAATATTTATATCTTCCATGACATTTTTTCCTGTGGTAATGAAGTTTGAACAATGGAGTGTCTCATGTAGGATGAAATCTGGTTGTACTTCTCGAAATTATTTAGATCTTGAGTAAAAAACAGCTTTCATAAACCAAGATTCAAGTCAAGATCCAGGCCACTGAATCTCCTGAACATGAGGGTCTTCAAATGTACTTTAATAAAAACCAAAGCTGCATTATTTTTGTGGTGGCACGGGTAGAGTCCAGTTCATTTATTCAACATTCTACAGTTTTCTAGAAGGGAACGCGTATCCAAAGGTACTAGGGTACTCTTAACAGAATCTGCCAAATTATCTTTGTTTCAAAGACCACTGGAAGAGTGTCTTCTCAAAGTGTCAGAACCTTCAATATAAATAGAAAACGACATTTTTTGGGGGGTTAAGAATAGCACTTATTATACTGTCGAACTATGCTTCTCTGAGTCTCACCTTCTACATATCTGTACCTCTGAACTTCTACTTAAGGTTAGTCCTTCACTTTGATTACTCTCCTCCTTTTTTGCTATCTTGGACCCCAACCATCTTTCAAGGTCCTCATCAAGTCCCACTTACAATTGAATGTCTTTCCTGATGGCCCCTGTGCCCTTCCGACATTGATTACCTAAACCACTTATTTAATATTTACTCAACTATTTACTGCCTATAACATCTCTTGTGGTTAATTAATATCCTGTCTTGTTTTAGAAAGGCTTTCAGGCAGCAGCTCATAGTATCATCTTATATTTTCCTAAATTTCTTCTCTATATATTACATTTTCAGGTATGTACCTTTTCTCCTCAACCAGGTGTTTGTATCCCTTGAAGACTGAGAACCATCAGATACCAATGTTGAGTTCCAGCAGGGCTAAGTCTGGTGTTATGACTATTTTTGAACAATCCAATGTATATATAATTCATTGTGCTGGTGACTTACTTTTTCCAAGCTCCATGTCCAGAATTCTGTTGTAACCTACAGAGTAATGACTAAAGTGAGGTGTGCAAAGTACAGCTCCTTGGAGCACTTGTGTGCTCTGAGCTAATTATTCCATCAAGTCTTTGATTGTTTTTGATGAGCCAGGCACCATGCTGTAGCACAAAAGCAAAAAAACCACAGGGCCAGTACTAAGGGAGCTCACAATTTAGTGTGTGCTTGGAGGGATGTCAGAAAGCAATGTAAGGAGTAATGAACAGGCGCAAGGCATTGTGAGAGTCCTAAGGAGTGACAAATGAATGCAACATGGTAGGAGGAATCAATACATTGAATGTATGCTCACGGTAGCCTGTCTTTTCTATTTGTCTTTGCTAATTAATGAAGACATGATTAGTCATGAGTATTTAAGTTAATGGACATTTAGGTTTCATTCCTCCTCGCAGTTCAAGATTCTCAAAAAAAAAAAAAAAGATTTTCTGTAGAGCCAGATAAAATTTCAAACACTGGCAGTCTCTCACATTGATTTCTGCTGAGAGAACAATGGCCTGCTACCTAGAAAGGACCATAAAATGATTTGGTCCATACTAGAACTCTCACTACCTTAGCCACAAAACTAACCCAACAGCTGCCTGAGAAATGAAGCAGCAGTTTGCCTTTTGTTCCTTAGTTCTGGCATTTGGGGGACCACTTCTCTACCTTAATTGAAACCTTTTGCCCTCAGTTTCCTAGTGCCTTCTTGAATCTTGCTTCCTGGTATGCCTCTTAATTATCAGTGGCCTCCCTTACATGTATATTTGCTTTATGAATTGTTACTGAGGTAGCCAAATTTGAATTTTCTCCCTTAGGGAAAGCCTGAATTTTAAGTAAATGATATAATATTTTCAGCCCAACTATAAGTCTTTGATTTGGATGTTTCATATATCAACACTCAGGATGGGAGGAGGGGTATTGACATTCTACAACAAAGGCAGTCATCACCTCTTTATAGACAAGACTGGCCCTGACATGAAACCTTCTATCTAGAAGCAATGAGAACCACTTGGTACAAGACTGTATATGTCAAATGAAAGAAAAACTCTTATAAATGAGAAGAAAAACTTTTATTCACTCTGATATGAATAAAAGTCAGAGGGAACCTTTATTCACCTAAGACCAAAAATAATTAAAACTGCATTTCTTCAGGAGAATGCTACTGTAGCTGAATCTCTGACTTTCTTTGGGTCACTGTAGTCACATCAGACTTCAAAAACTAAGGAGTCTTTATTTTAGAGGTGATTGGAATAAGGACAAAAATTCCTTTTGGATAGTTTGTGTCTTACCCCTTTCTTCTGGGCCCGTCATGGCTGGCCTTCTGCCCAGCAGAAGGTGAAGTGTTTGACTTTTGTGCATCCTGGTGGTTTTTCTCTTGGCTTTGTATTTCTTCAGCTACTCATTAAAAATAATCAGAAAACAAATTTACATATAAAATGGTTAGAAATGAGAACAATTTTATATTCTTTACTCACTTTCTTACATTAGCACAGGACAAAGAAGTCTATAATAATTGTCAATGATAATCCCACCCTAAAATTCCCAGTCACACAGTTATTCCTAATTAGTTGAGCATTCCAGAATTAAATGAGGAATAAAATCAGGACTCATCTGTGGGAAGTTTTCTGAAATAAGCTTTCTAGGGATGACTGCAATGGAAGAACAATAATACATCATCCTTCTAAGATATCTTTAGGGTAGAGGAGCCTGGGTTCATGAGAACTCCAAATCCTTAGAAACTGAATTCAGGATAGGGTTCTAAAAATGATACTCTGTTTTCTAGTACACAAGCCATATTTAATAGGATAGTGAGTACCTGTGAATACGCCTCATAACTTGAGAGACATTTTATACTCTGGAAAGCACTGAGTTTTAAGTGAAGGAAGCAGCCATAGCTAACTGCTTAATTCTAACTCTATTCCATTCTGTCCTTTTGTGTCATCAGACCTGATCTTACACATCTGAGTAAGCCCTTCCTCACTAGCACCACACCCAGAAGTGGCACTGAAACAGTTTCAAGCCTTCCAACCCTTCCTGCCACAGTTCAAAACAAGGGAATTAGTCTCTGGTATATGAAATATCAGATACTCTAGGAACAGGCCAGAAGATGCCTGCTCTACCTGTACTATAGCACACATGAGAAATATGCTCTTAAACAAAAGTTTCACTCAATATTTAACCAATTAAATTATAGTTTGAATAATGTACAGAGTAGCTTTCTCAGGGTGGGCTGTTATTTTAATTTGGTGACAATATAACTTTTCACTGAGTAAAAGTGTCCTGAGCCTTTCAGAACATGGAAATCTCTGGCATGTGCCAGCTAAATGCTATTAATTTCCCCATCTCCCAAGTCATAGAGAAGACCAGAAATGTACCCCTGCATTTCTAAATAGTCCCTTGGCTTGGGGAAGAGGGCAAATACACAATATCACCCCTTGGTTGAGAACAACTGAATCAGAAAAAATAACATTTTTTAAAAATCTGAAAAACATTTTGTTGAAAAATCAAGGATTGCTTTCACAATGTGAATCATATAATTCACCTGTTTTGTGTTAATTCCTTAAATGTTTAGTAAAATACTGGAAGTGCATTCATGAATGTAAAATAGCTGTCTGTGATGAAGATAAATGCTTCCTTTAACAGCCTCAGTTTAACAGATATACAGAAAATCACTGCATATTTTTTCTACTGACTTCCTCTTCCCTTGTATGAATTGCAAATTTAGATTTCATGTTTTGAAAGAAACTAAAGGATTCAGGAAATTCAACTGTGCTCATTTGATACGTAGTATAGGAAAGTTATTTAGCCGGCCAAAATGCAGATTAAGACAATTTTGAAACCAAATAATTTATTGAATTACCTGGATTTCTTCTTAAGATGGACTGTCGGACAACATCTGTGCCTAGAACATTCGCTTGCTTGAAACGTTTTGATTTTTCTTCAAAAAACCACTCGCCAGTTACAATCTTTAGTTGCCTACACAGGGCAAAGTGGGGGGGATGACACTGAAACGCAGTTATTTGGCCAAATAGATAACTATCAAAATTTTGAACTAAATAAAAAAATAAGCAGTTATTTATAGAGCCCATCTCAATCTCTGGAGTGCTCTATGATGATTATTATGGCCAGTATTAGTTGAATACTTGCTATGTACCAGGTATTGGTAATTGCTCTTCATACTTACTATATTTTTATCCACATAAGAACTCTATATAAACATTAATATCCCCATTTTACAGATAAGAAAACTGAGGTTTATAGCAGTAAATAGCATGTTTCACATCACATAGCTGGTAAGTAGAATTAGGATCCCTTCCCAAGCAGTCTGGCTTAGGCCTCAAGTTCTTAACCACTGCATTAGTGGGTAAATAATTTTCAGTGGAAATAGTGGGGGACAAGTGAAGGTTTTGAATTACAAAGGGGCCAGGATAAGACTGTTTTAGAATGATACCTTACTGTAATATGATGACTGGGTTAGAGTAAAGAGAGAATGAGGAAAAGAGGCAGGTTAGGCATGGCAATAGTCCAGAAAACAGATGACAAGACCCATGTTAGGGCAATGGCAAGACTAACGGAAAGGAGGAAATAAATTGAAAACATAGCTGTTAGAAGGGCTCGTCTGGATTTCACAATCATTTGAGTAGTGCAGGTAAAGAAGAAGGATCTTTGAATGATCAAAGCTATCTTTGAAGCCACGCACCACCCCCTGCAATAGTTACACAAACCCTTTACTTTAGTTATACAGGCCTATGTTCCATTCTCAGAAGATGGCCCATCTCTATTGTTGGGACAATAGTGTTTACCAACTACTGTCCCAACACTTCTGGTGGAGGGTTGTAATGGAAAAGGAGGTTGAAAGATAGAATTGAGTCAAATGATGGAAATCTTTGAATGTCACACTAAGGAGTTGGAATGCTATTCTGGAGGCAATGGGGGAACTCTGGCAGTTTTTCTAAAGTTCAGGTTGGATCATATAATCTCTGGAATATTATATGGAGAAAGGAACCAGAAGCAGGCAAGCCAATTAGGAATTTATGACAAAAGATAGGCTAGAAAAATATGAAGATATAAACTAGGGTATCACAGGGGCAAAAGGCAAAGAAAGTTGTAAATATTTGGGCCACTGAGGATGAGCATCAGCAAAACTGGTGACATGGTGGCTAAAGAAAAGCATCTGAGAGCCAAATAGATATTTCTTGGCCCAGAATATTATATCTGTGTGATTCAGTAACTGATTGGACTTAGAAAATTACAATTGGATCCTGACCAGAGGGAAGCAGGGAGGAGGATAATAAGAGAAAGAAAGGGAAGGGTCAAGTCAAGGAACATGTATAAAGGACCCATGGACAAGGACAATGAGGTGGGGATTGAATCTGGAAGGGGGAGATGGGCAGGGCAGGGGAAAGCAGTGGGGAAAATGGGGATACTTTAAAAACAATAAATTAATTTTGTAATTTAATAACAATAAAATAATAAAAATTCTCTAGAAAAATATACCAAATTGTTCCCCATGATATTTACCCTCATATCCTATCCTACCCTACTTCTGAACAGAAGAGACAAAAGTCACATATATACTCTAGGAAGACAAAAAAACCCCAACAATTAAAAAAAAGGCAAAAGACTTCAACAGACACTTCTCCAAGGAGGACATACAGAGGGCCCAGAGACATTTGAAAAGATGCTCAGCATCACTAGCCATCAGAGACATGCAAATTAAAACCACAAGGAGATATCACTTCACACAGGTCAGAATGGCCATCATAAACAAATCAACAAACAACACGTGTTGGAGATGTGGAGTAAAGGAAACCCTATTGCACCATTGCTGGGAATGCAGACTGGGGCAGCCACTGTGGAACACAGTATGGAAATTCCTCAAAAAATTAAAAATGGAACTGCCTTTTGACCCAGCAATTCTGCTGCTGGGGTTATACCCTAAGAGCCCTGCAACACCAATCCAAAAGAACCTATACACTCCGATATGCATAGTAGCACAATTTACAATAGCCCAGTGCTGGAAGCAGCCTAAGTGCCCATCAGTAAATGAGTGGACCAAAAACCTATGGTGAATTTACACAATGTAAGACTATGCATCAGAGAGAAAGAAGGAGCTCCTACCCTTTGCAACAACATGGATGGAACTGGAGAGCATTATGCTAAGTGAAATAAGATAGGTAATGACAGACAAATATCATATGATTTCACCTTTAACTGGAACATAGTCAACAAAAGTAAAAAGCAAACAAAATATAACCAGAGACATTGAAATTAAGAACAATCTAACAATAGCCAGAGGAGAGGAGGAAGAGGATAATTGGAGGAAGTGTTTTCGGGAACTATTATAAAGGACCCATGGACAAAACCAAGGGGGAGGGTGGAAGCAGGGGAGGGAGGGAGGTTTAAAGGGTGTGAGGGGAGGCGTGGGGAGCAAATACACACAACTGTAATTGAACAACAATAAAATAATTTAAATAAAAAATAAAATATTAAAAAGTTGCTTATATATAAAACAGGCCCTCTACCAAAAAAAAAAAAAAAAAGAATGAAAATGCTATTATTGGAGCAAATTATTCATTGAAAGAATGACCATATCATGACCACATGATATGCACCAATATCATGTACATCTCAGATTAACTCCCAAGTTGCTAGATCATCTAATGAAAAGCAAAAACTATTAAATCAGCCCCAAACTGTATAAAATGTCCTTATGAAATATGTCAAATATAAGAGGATCTAATTAACCAAAACCAAATGCTTGAATAGGTTAAATTATTTCTGGATATATCTCAAGTGCTCTATAGACTTACATATTATTATTCATGCTGAAAATGTAGATGGTAATTGTGCTATTCTAAATTTTAAAGCTGTCTCATCAAGGTTTTTATTTCTTAGTTATCAAGTAAATTTGAATCTAGCTACTGCTATGATTAAACTTTGCTGATTAAATTAAAGTTTCTAATCAGGGAGATTGTTCTAGATTATCTGGGGGGGCAAAGTAATCAGTAAGCTCTTAAAAACAGAGGAAGTGGTGATTGCTGGTGGGTAAGGGGCAAAAGGGGACTAAATGGTAATGGAAAAATATATTAAAGATGAAAAAGTTGAAAAAAACAGAGGAAGAAGAAGATTTCAAATGCAGAGATGCTATAGCATTAGAGAGATTTCAAATAAGAAAAATATTTGGCACACTAAGATGACTCTAAGACATAAGATGGCAATGGAGTAGAAGGGAGCAGATTCCACTCCTCCCTACACACAGGAGAAAAACCTGGCTGATCTATGGGGGAACAGAGCAAACAGCCAAAAGTACCCCAGCATATAAGAAAATAAGATACCAGAAATTGTAAAAACAGACACTGAAAAACCAGAAGGTAAGGAGACTGCTGCAGGACAATAAGTTCTCAGGGACCAGCACTGGGACGCCACTGTAGCCACAGGTCCGGTACCCAGAGCCTGGCGCCAGGTGCTTGGTCTACCACAGACTCTTTGGGAGCCTCTGGCCTGCTACAGAGTCCTTGGCAGAGAGCCAGGTCAACTGCTTCCTTCCTCCCGGGCCAAGGAGGGTTTGAGCAGCACCAGGAGAGACCTTGTTGCTTGAAGTTGCAGAGAGGGGAATAAGGACAAAGTGGCAAACACACAAGGGCCGTGATCACCCATGGAGTCTGTGGTCTCCAGCTTGTGAGACTTGAGAGGCCCACAATGATGCACACTGACCCTGATACTCACAGGTCTGGCTGGAGAATTGGGCTGTACTGAGAGGTAGGCTTGAGTAGGAAGAATTTCTCAAAAAGTAAAACTGTTTGGGGGATTCTCCTGTGACAGCCGCTTGGCTTACTCCCCACCCAGTCGGCCAGCAATCTTGAGGTTGCACAGAAGGCCCTGCATTTCACTATAGCACTGGGAAGGGTTTGCACCCAAGCCTGTGGGACCCAGGTAGCCTAGCCAGGGGTATGGGTGCACCCGCACCCCAACCCACAGTGATGACCCCAAAGGAAGAGTGCTCTAAAGAAGACCTGGATCCCCTGCTTGGGACACTCGAGAGAGGCCCCAGACTAGATCTTGGGAGTGTGCTTGCAACACTGTCTCAGTACACATTAGGAAGGGAAAAAGGCCACACCAATCCGACCTCAGCCTGCTGCAGCCAGCAAGATGAGAAAAACCAGTTTGGCCAGTTTGAAACCAACAAGAGGTGTTCTTTTTTTCTAAATAATCTTTTATTTTTTTAATTTTTATTATTTATCTATTAATACCCTTTTCTCTCTTTCCTACTTTCTTGTTTTATTCCTCCTTCCTCCTTTCTTGTTTTATTCCTCCTTCCTTTCTTTCCAATTTTATCTCTCTTCCTCCCTTCTCCTGACCTTTTTTTAAAAATACCCACAAATGAGAAAAAACCTTGGAACTGTGAAAGAACCAGAGCTGGATGAAAAGAGGGGGCATCCCAACAGTTGAGACAGTGAGACCAATTTCACTTTGCTATTGCAGAGAAACTACAAACTACTGCATATCTGTATTGTTATTATTTTCATTATTCTTACATCTTATATTTTAATAGTATTTTTTTATTCCTCTTCTTTCTGTATGGTTTTCTTTGTTTGGCTGGTTATATTGTATCATTTGACAGGTTTCCCCATTCTCTCTTCCACAGTGTATTGGTAATTTACTAACTTTCACATCACTTGTGTTTCTTTAGTAAACTACTCAACATTCTATACCCCCTATTTATGATATCCAGATTACATAGATTCTGTCATATGATTGTTGCTTTAGTATTATTGTAAATAATAGCTGTTCCATATCATCGTAAATACTTCACATCACCCCTCCTGGATCTTAGTCCACTTCACAGTTTCCTTAACTCTATTACTGTAATGGTTAACTCTATTCTCTCACACACAACACCTATTTACTATCCTTTACTCTCATCTTACCTCAGAATCTGACCTCCCACAACCTCACTTCTTTCTAGATCCTAC